TGGACTGAGCTGGCCTTATTCTGGCAGATGGTTCACTGGAGACAATGTATGATCAATTTTCTTTTGCCCTAAACATTACATTAAATGTCTAACTTGAAATAGTTTTCTTCGTGTTTTTAATACTCCTTCTGCTATGACATCATGCAGCAGTCCCAGAAACGCGGCTGCTGGTGGAAAAGCAGCAACACTGCCCTCTGGCTTTACAGTGCAGAGCAGAAGCCTCTTTTTGATTGCACTAGGATGCAGCAGTGATAACCTCTGATGATTTCAGAACCTGAGTAAGAATCTTGCTTCCTTTACTTGTTTGTTCCCCTTGGAGGGACTATGAGCACATTTATCATCACGAAAAACAGTGTACATTTTACTCTTAGGAGACAAATACAGTCCAGTTTTTAAGAATTATACAAATATTTGGTTTTAAGTAACTCAAATTATTTTACCTTGAACTATACAACTTTCTGAATTCTGCTTTAACAGGCACTGGCGTTCTACTGTATTTATTGCATTTATCTTCTTTGGTGAAGTTTGTGAGAAAGATGAATTTTCATCAACACTTCTACACTGAAACACTTGACTAGCATATTGCTCTCAGGGCAGAAGGCTCTGAATTCCCTGTATTAACAGGGGGCTGTAATGACAAATGATCCTCAAGTCCACTGTAGCCTTTCACTGAAGTGCTCCCTGCCAAACATTTCAACTGAGTTGCACAGAAGACCATACTTACACATTAGCAATTTCAGTTTGTTCCCTTTTTAATACTAGGGCCTGGATATCAAGCTAGGGCAAAGCATTTCCCAAACTTTGAGAGAGCTGGCTGAACTGCGTAATTCTTTGAGTAAGGAAAACTTTTCCAGGGCTACCCTATAACATAAAAAAGGCTCTTAGGAGACAAGTCCCTTCAGATTTCAGTTTGGAGGGAAAAAGTCAGGGAGTTCCAGACTGGTTTAGGTCTTAAAAATAGACCCAGTATATCTGAACATGGTAACAATTACACCAGACTAGGAGTAAAGAACCAGGGACCCAGTCACACCTTTAACGTATACTAGCAGTGCAATCCTGGACACATCTCTCAAACTCTCTGAGCCTCATTCTTCATTAGCAAAATGGGGCTATGCCTACTTTACATTAACTGTTATAAGGATTAAATGAGATAGTATGAAAATATGCTACACAGGCATACAGCAGGTGCTCGTTCGATTAGTATTTTTAAATGTTCACTTCATCCAGGACTTATAAAAATACAAACTTCTTATAAATTAAAAAATCCTTCGCTTGGGGAAGTGCAAATAAATATATTTTATCCTAATGACTTCAAAAATAGAGAAACCACACAGTGATTCCAAGAAATTAAAAAAAACAAAAACAAAAACACAACCCAAGAGTTTATCTTCAGAGTCAAGAACGGGCTACACCCTTGGCCAGGCTGCTCCGCAGGTTGGAGCACCATCCTGTTCACCAAAAGGCTGTGGTTCAGTCCCTGGTCAGGGCACACACCTAGGTTGTGGGTTCAATCCCCTGTCGGGGCACCTATGGGCAGGAACCAATCAATATTTCTCCCTCCCTCCCTCTTTCAAATTAATAGACAACATAACATTGAGTGAAGATTTAAAAAAAAAACAACAAAAACCCCACCACCAAACTGGTTATATTTAGTCAAACATCAGGTCATACACTACACGTGGCCCCCCCGGCCACTTACATGCAGGACAGCTGACAACAAATATTCACAACAGCGTGATAGAAAAGTTGGCTAGAGTAAAGATAGTACTTGCACCTAGTAATGAGGTACTCTCGTGTGTGTGGGTTTTTGGTTTTTAAAATAATTTTTTCACATTTGACAGATCACTGGAATAGAATTCCACTTTACTGTTCTTTCTCACATAAAGTATAAATCACTGATGTTAGGACGAAAAGTAATTTTTAAAATAAAGAAAATGTCAAATTCAGGACCTGAACACAGTGGGGTCTGCTGATCAAACTGCAAGTCATACTTTGCAAGTGGGACAAAATCTGTGGTCTAGCGAGCAAAGATTCAATCTTTGGCCAATTTCTGCCAGCTGTCTTTGAGTGTTGGAAAGCTGACAACCTCATTCGATTTCTTGTTGAAAAAAGCAAATGCTAGGTTTAGACAGATCAATGCTGTAGCTCTCACAAATCCTCTGGATTAAACTTTTTCTTTTCTTCCTTTTTTATAGAGGCAGTTCAATTATTAAAATTCATTCAAATGGTTGAGATGCCACAGGAAACTCTTGGTCTTTTGAAGCAGTGTGATCTTTCGATACAGCACCAAGGAGTTAACATTGGCTTACACATTTTTTTTTCCAAGAGCAAACATTCAGAAGGGAATTGTAAACACTAGTCTGAAGTCATATTCTATTTGACACATTCACTGACTCTTTGTGAAGTGTTAAAAAGCCCTGGGTCTGCAGTGAGCAAAAAGAATATTCCTGAAGGAAAATGTGGGAGCTTTAGAGTACTCTGTGCAAAAGAATTTGAGAAAATGACAGCTGCTCTTGTAAGCTACTCAGCTGAACTTGTCCTAACCTCCCTAGTCAGTGGAGAAGGCTAATCTGAACTTCTGAAACCTGCCTCAAAAATTCAATTCTGCATATATGGATAACTCCAGTACAACCTTCAGGCAAATGTCAAAGACCAAACTGGAGGATGGAAAAGGATGCCTGAGGATGTCTGAGAAGTTGGTTCTACCCTCCTCTCTAGTTATTACTAAAAGCGTACTTAATAAAAACAGTAAACATTAAACAACTTAGACAAAAGATAGGGAAGAATGGTGAGACCTAAATACAAAAAATAAAAAAATGACTGTGGAAATCAAATGGTTCAGAAGCATCTTCATCCTGAAGAGGACTGCTACAAAGAATCAGTGAATCCTGCTCACAAATAGCCACTAGTCCCCAAGAGTGGACCATCAGGCAAAAGTAAAATGCCCAGAACTTCATGGTAACAACTGCTTGGTACCCTGACAAACTGACCCTCCTTCAGTTTATTTGAACGGGCATACTTTGTACTGCCAGGGGCACATTTCAGTAAGGCAGGTCTCCCAAATAACCTTTGAAGCAGAGGTTCTCAAGTTTCCAAATAACAAAGTTACAGCAAGTAAATGTTTAGACAGCTACTGAAGAATAGTTACTCCTCTATTTATGAGGGAGGTAGCATTGATACTATTTTCAAATTAGGCAACTGAGGCATACCCAATAAACTCAATAAAAAATAAAAAAAGGAAACTGAGGCATACACAATATAGTCTATTGTAGTTGTAAACTACAAAGCAACTCATCTGAAAGAGGAGGAAGTCAAAGGCCTCACTGAATACTAGATGAACAATAGACTCAGCAACAAAAGTTTGGCCTAATCTTCAGGTTTTGGCCTCTAGCCAAGCCAACCAAGTCAGTGGTGTAACACACACAGAAACAGAACTTGGGAGTTCCTAACCTCCAATCCTATGTTTTGTTGAGTAAACAAACTTGTTTTATTCCCAACTTTTCTTATCAAGGAATGGAAGGCTTATTGGTTAACCTTAAAGAGAATAAACTTCCATTTTTATAAATGAGTACCAAATTTCTGTCCCTGGTATGCTTCACTTAGTAACGTCCAAAGGTTTAACTAGATTACTTAAAAATGGAGAGTGAATCACAACAGTCTGAGCTCCTCCACTCAATTCTTGACAAAGATAATCTTCAGATCCCCCTTTCAGCTCCTATGACTAATTAAGTCCTACCAAGTTAGTGTCAACTTTTCCTAACTTAAAATCTCTTGATCTGAAGAACAGTGTAAAAATGAACATGATGTTAAGCCAAAAATCAGTCCACAGTATGAATTGCATGTATTGGTTTCATTTAGGACTAAGTGGTTCAAATTTTGGATTAAGAACCAGAGTCAATGATGATCATATCTTTACAATCCAGTTCTAAAACTTTCTCTGAAAATACACGGTGGGTGGGGGGAATAAAGTTATGGAACTGTCACTCACAACTTTTTACAATTTTTACTTTATTAATAGGAGGAGCAAGGGTTTGGTTCTGAAGAACCTTTCAAGGTTCTTGCCATTAAAGCCAAAGGCTCAGAAATGACGACCATGGTTGGAGCCTCATTTTGATAAGACAAGGTTGTGGGTTCGACTCCCCAGTCAGGGCACATAAAAGAATGAGTTCGACTCCCCAGTCAGGGCACATAAAAGAATGAACAAGATACCCTCAAAGACAAAGTTCACTGCCCAGTCACCCCCTTAACTTTAGGACCTACCTACACATAATTTCTACTAACATTTTTGCACAAGAATTACTAAGCTATCCCTGAGCTATAAATCTCCCTGAATTGAGATTCCCAGCAGTAGGAAACAAGATAGTTTAATCCGTAATTCAAGAAAAAATTTCACATCAAACTTCAATCTTTAAGAAGCTACTACAGCTGTAAGGCAAGGCTGAATATTTATTTTTTTCAGAGCAGGTCTCCCCTACCTCCAAGCTGCAATTTCTATTTTAGTAGCATCTAGGATCTACAGAAGAGATTTTTAATTACTTGGAATTTCAGAAGAGGTTTCCTAGTAACAATGCACCAGTGGCAAAATACTCCCCCAATTAATTTAGTTTGTGGGAGAAAACTTCTTTAAACTGGAAAGAATTTGTAGTCTTATAAAGATTACACTGGCATTCGTTCGTTTCTTTTCCTCTAGGAGGGCAGACATTCCTCCAAAAGTTTTGGTAGTAGTTATGGCTCAGATTTCAAAATGCAAACAGATGTGCCCGAAGCATCTGAAATGGGCCACTCCCCTTTTATTCCCAGAGCCATGGCAACTCTTAAGTTATTTTGTGTTCCAACCCTGGTAAGGGCAAAAACTCATACCCCTTTGGTGTAAACTTTCAAGGCAAGTGGAACAGCACACTTTTGGAGTTTCCCCAAAGTGGCTGGCGACGTGCGAGGTCAGGTCGTTCAGAGACGGGGCGCTGATAGGATAAACCTTGAAGACAGGAGTGCTCAGAGATCCAAGCACTGGGCTCGGGAAGGTTTCCACGTGCCTCTACCCAGCGGGTCCCGGGGGAAATTAGGAGTTGTTACAGTAGCAAGAAGGCTGCTCCGCAGCCTGGGCCGCGGGACAGCCTCGGTGTATGGAGGAGGCAGGGGATGACGGTGGGTGCACCGGGCTCTCCGACCTCGGAGCCTCCAGCTGACTGCCAGGCCAGAAAGACGCGCGGTCAGTGCTGCGACCTCCACCCTCCCCCGCGGCCAGTCTTTGGAATGTGGCCTCTTCCCCACCTCGCCCGTCGAAGTTGGGGAGGGGTTCCCGCTACGCTGGGCCTCGCCGCCATACCCAGGCCGGATGGGGCTGGGAAAAGAACTTCGCAGAGCTCGGCCGCATGATCTGCGCCCCAGGGGGAAGAGAGCCGAAGAGAGTCGTTTCACCCGGTCTCTCCCCAACTGGGGTCTCGGGAAATACGCGGTAATTACCCAAGAACCCCGCCCTCTGTGAGAGGCGAGGCTGCGGGGCTGCCGGGACGGTTTGAGGACCAGGCCCTGCCGGAGAGACTCCAACCTTCACCCCCTCCCTCGGCCCCCGGTCCCACATCCCGCTGTCTCCCGGCGTCGCCACTGCAGGCAGCCCACTCGGCCCGGCCTCTCCCCACGCCCGGACCACCCCCCATGGGGTGCTCTCACTGTGCAGCGAGTCCCTCCGCTGCCTCCTCCCAGCCCAAAATGGCGGCGGCGGCCACCGAGCCTTCTCGTCGCCTTCCTCTAGAGCCGGGGATCCCTCCGCGCCCACAGCCCCTCCCCCCTCGGCCGGATCTACTTTCTGCCTAGTAAAGATTAACGCCATCAATGAACTCTTTAATTGAGCTTGGAAGGCGGATTCCGGTTGTGCTTCCGCACGGCAAACGGTAACCAAAACTGGGATATTGGCAGGCGAGTTGACCAATCAGAAAAGGCAGAGATGATCGCGGGACAACTCCCGCGCAAGGGTAGGTGGGTTTTGAAGTTCTCTGCGTGGCTGTTGACGTGACAGGATTTTGGTTCGCCTTCCCAGGCTGGAAGAACTGCAATCCCCAGCAGGCACCGCGCTGTTGGGCCGTTCCCTTCCCCCAACCTTAGTGCCTGAGCGACTTGACCAGAGCGCTGCTGCAGCTGCATGCAGCGAGAGGTAGGGCTGAGGCGTTGGGAATTGCACTGACAGGCGATTGCACAGAAAGACACACGGATGTAGTCGTGTGCATAGCCCTTGGCAGCAAATAGGTCAGTTCCGCCTTTGCAAAACCCCCTTCCCGAACCGTTTCCTCTCTTCCAAGGAATCCATCCTTATCCCAGTTGGGTTTCCCTCCCAGCTGCATGTCATGCGAAGACCTCTTCCTCTCGCCCTCTGTTTCCCGTCCTGAGAGGAAGGAGGGAGGCAGGCCAGGCCCTGTAGATGAAAAGGCCTCCGTCCCAGGCTCGGCCAAGGCCCCAGGCGTGTTTCTTGAGGCACCGACTTCTGGAGCCCAGCCTGGGGAGCAGTCAGGGGCTGCAGTTAAGACTGAGGCCTCTGGAAAGGGCCCCCTCTGGTCGAAGCCACGGGTCCCGTCCGCCCTGAGCCTCGCCAGGTCGTTGCGGGATGGATGTGGGCCTCCGAGGCAGCCTCCTTTACCACGTAGGTCAGTGGAGGAACAAAGCTTGGTCCCACCTGCCTAGTAGCCACCAGCCCGAGCCTCAGCGACTTCCAGGAGGAGAACAATGTAGGGTGTGAGCCTGGCCCTCGGGCCTGAGAAGCCGACTGGGAAGGGCGCTTCCTTATCCCCTTTTGGACTGGGAAGGGCGCTTCCTTATCCCCTTTTGGCCCCTCGCTGGCTCGAGGTGTGAAAAACAGGGCGGGGCGGCAGCCTTCGGGGCCTGCCTTTGAAAAGGAGGGTGTGCAGGTCTAGTTACAAAATGGCTGCTGCTGCCTCGGTGAAAAATTCCCGGGCAGCCAGGCTTCCAGAAAATTCTCCTTCAGGACTTAGGTTTCTGTTGTTATTTAAAGCAGGTGTCACTAGGTGAAGGCATCTGCGGAGAGATTTGGAGCAGAAGAAGGTGGCCGCTCTGAAGCAGACCCGCTGTGACGCCGAGTCAGCAGCAGCCCTGGAGGAGGCCAAGGTAAGCCTCGCCCTTCCAACCCGGAGGGCCCGTGCGGGGGATCCGGTGTCCGGGATCCTGGCTCCTGGCTCCTTGTCTCAGGTGTGTTGGCAGATTTGGAAAAGCAGTATTTTTAAATGAGCCCCTACTATGCGTTGGGCCATATTCCAGGTACTAAGTCTGGGCTCTCTCATGACATCCTGGTAGCCCTTCTAGGTAGGACAACCTATTTCCATTTCACAGAAACTAAGGGTCTGAGAGCTGAAATACCTTTTCTAGAATCATGCAGCCGGCAAGCAGCAGATCCAGGGTTTAAATTTAGGGCCTTCTGACGACAGAACCCTGCCTTGCATTTGGGCCAAGTCTGAGAACCAAGTGTGAAGCAGGGAAAAGGGTTTGAGCACTTGGTGCATAATTTGGGTTGGGGTGGGGTGTAGGATATCACCCAGGAGGGACGGAGAGACAGATTGTATCAGGCCCTCAGAATGTCACCTTCCGACCTGGCAACAGGAGCCCAGACGCTCCCACTCATGCTCACTCTCACAGCCCCGACCTCGACCATTCTTCTCCCCTCGTCCACAACGCCCTATTGGTGAGAGGGAACTCGGCCTCTCCGACTCACTGTGCCTGGCCACTTCCAGTGTTTCCCAGACTTATTTCATTTGGACTTCATGGCATGCCAGGGCTAGAAGGTTCAGAGAGGGCGAATGACTCACCCAGGTCACACAGCTTACCTGCAGTAGTGGTCATGGTGGTAGAGGGACAAGCCTTTAGGAGGGAGGCAACATGTGGGGCTGAGGGGCAGGGCTGGCTTGGGTGAGGGGAGAGATCATTAGGGGGCGTTTGCTGAGGGTTGGGGTCAGGTGAATTACAGTGCACACAGAAACAAGCCACCCTGCCTCTGAGTTCCCAGAGGCCTGCCTCTTCCACGTGGGGCCGATTTCTGTCTCATTTGGCTGAAGATGGTAATGGAGACAAGGCCTGTCGCTCTTAATTGATGATCTCCCTGCAGGTGAAGTAACAATACAACACAACACGTGCACGCCAACATGCCTCCTTTTCCCTACAGTTCTCTTCGTGGTCTCCAAAACGCACGTAACATGCCTCCAGCTCTTCCCCTACATCCCCTAATACATACCCTATGCTTGTATGGAACCATGCTCAGATGTGCATGTTGTGCATTATAAAACAACATGCTAGTGGCAGTAGTTATTATTAGAGTTCCCCAAACCACAAACTTAAGCAACTCATTCCCTAGTCCCCACTCAGTACTCCCACCCTCAGCATGACAGAGATAACCAGATGCCCTGAATGCACACTCTCTTGACAGAATCCTTTGCACCTCTTAGATAAGTTCTAGAATTCTCTCAGCTGTAGACTGGAGATTGACGTTTCTTCTCCCCAGTTAGGACCTCTTTCCTGCCCCGCATGTAGAGGAATGATACCAACGTCTGCCTGGAATAAATGCACTCCATCTTCTTTACCCTCAAATGACAGGAGAGTCTTGTGTTCCAATATCTTTTGGATCCCACTCTCTTATGGGCTTTATGTCATTTAACATGTATTTACTAAGCACTTACCTTGGGTCAGGCATAGGGACACAGTGGTGAACTGAACAGACAAGACACATTCTTATAGGAGAAAGAAAAATGGTAAATAGTAACATGCTAAATGCAACATGGATGTTAACTGTTTATGTGATAGGGAGTCAATGGGCAGGGGAGGTGGGGGGCTACTTCAGATAGGGGTCAGGGAGGGCCTCTCTGAAGAACTAATATTGGAACAAAGCCCTAAAGAATGAAAAGTAGTCAGCTATCCAAATATCTGGAAGCAGGATCAGCTATGTAATTTGTGGAGCTCAGTGCAAAGGGGACTTTATTCTAAAATTATTAAGAAGTTCAAGCCCTGGCTGATATGACTAAGTGGATTGAGTGCTGGGAGCAGTAGCCTGGGAACCAAAAGGTTGCCGGTTCGATTCCCAGTCAGGACACATGCCGAGCCAGTTCCCCAGTTGGATGTGTGCGAGAGGCAACCAGTCGATGTTTTTCTCCCTCTCTCCCTCCCTCCGTCTCTCTCTGAAAATAAATAAATTAAAGTCTTTAAAAAAATTCAAGACAATGACAGCAGAGTATTAAGCAAAGCATGGGGCCTTTCAGATGGGGAGGGGCATTGAAATTACAGAGTGAAATGCACAGGTGAAATTTCTGCGCTCCTTGTGACCAAAGTCTCTGTGACTTTGCTTGGGGCATGTTGGGGGATAAAAGAGTAGTCAGTAAGCCCTAAACAAATAAATGGTCACAGAAGGGTGAGCTAGAGAGGGACCAAGTGAGCTGGGTAGGGGAAGGTCGGCTTCAGGCAGGGAATGGGGATGTGGAGGGGTAGGGAAGGTTTCCACTACCGGGGACAGGCTGGCTGTGATCCATCCTTCTTCATGTTCTCTTTTTAGACCACTGGCTCTCCTGGGAGCCCAGGAACACCCCCTGAGCCTCATGACCCTGGCAGTTCCCTACCTCTGACACCCCGGATGGAGAGTCTTTCAGAGGAGGAAGACCATGGTGGCCTGGGCCGCAGTAGTAGGGGTCCCCGAACCCAGAGCCCAAGGGGCTACTCAGTGGAGGCAGTGCTGAGCCGGAAGAAGCACCGCCGGCGGCCTTCAAAGCGCAAGCGGCACTGGAGGCCCTACCTGGAGCTGAGCTGGGCCGAGAAGCAACAGCGGGATGAGAGGCAGAGCCAGAGGGCCTCCCGGGTCCGAGAGGAGATGTTTGCCAAAGGCCAGCCCGTGGCACCCTACAACACCACCCAGTTCCTGATGAATGACCGAGACCCAGAGGAGCCCGATCTGGATGTGCCCCATGGGGCCTCCCACCCAGGCTCCAGTGGGGAGAGTGAAGCAGGGGACAGCGACGGGCGGGGCCAAGTTCATGGTGAGTTCCAGCAGAGGGATTTCTCAGAGACCTATGAGCGCTACCACACAGAGAGCCTGCAGGGCCGCAGCAAGCAGGAGCTGGTGCAAGACTACCTGGATCTAGAGCGGAGGCTGTCCCTGGCCGAGGAGGAGACGAGGAGGCTGCAGCAGCTGCAGCGGTGCACCAGCCGACAGTCCTGTCACCTGGTTGAGGAGCTGGCTGCCGAGGTAGAGAGGCTCCGGACGGAGAACCAGCGGCTTCGACAGGAGAATAAGATGTGGAACCGAGAGGGCAGCCTTGGCGGCAGGGAGCCAGGCACCTAGGAGTGGCCCCCAACCCGGTTAGCCCGAGGGGACAGTCCATTTTATACACACGCAGGCCAGCTGGGTCCCAAGTTGGCAGGTGACCAATGAAAACCACTCTCAGCACCCCGGTGCCCCCTGAGAACAGCTTGACTTACACCTTGTCATTTCCACAATTTGTTCTTTGATGTCATTTTATTTTTCACAGAGAAAATAAATGGTTTTGGTGAAATCAAATGTAAGTGGCTGGGATTGATTTTTCTAGAACTCTGAAATTCAAAGCACATTCATTCCAGGTAGGTTTGGGACTTGGAGCCCCAGTGCCCCCTTGCCCTAAGCCCAGGAGGACAAAAGACATCTGCATTGGGGACCTATCAAGATCGCCAGGATGGCCCTGGCCAGTGTGGCTCAGTTGATTGGTTAGAGCATTGTCCTGTAAGCAAAGGATTGCAGGTTCGATCCCTGGTCCAGGCTTGTACAGGAGGCAACCAGTCAATGCTTCTCTCTCGCATTGATGTTTGCATCCATGTTTCTCTCTCTCCCTTCCTCTCTCCCTGAAAGAAATGAAAAAAAGTCCTTGGGTGAAGATTAAAAAAAAAAAAGATTTCCAGTGTGCTGGAATTCTGCTGTGTCAGGGACAGTCAGACTGCTCTGAAGGGTTTATAGCAGGGGGATGCAGAGGTGAGAGGGGGCTCAGGTGGGACCTGACTTGAGATGCCAGGTCGCTGGGAGGAGCTGGGACTTGTGGGGAAGGCCCAAGGATTTTTCCCCCAAGCCCCCTGCATTCTCCCCATCTTCCCCACAGTTTAGAGGGCTGGGCTAGGTGAGGTCTGGGAGCCTTTTGTCTCCTTGTCCTTGAGAGCCCCCAGCACCCACACCTCCCAGCCAGGGGCTGGGCAGGTTAGTCATTCGTGGGCCCCTTACCTCCTAGAAGGGCACTGACAAGTAAGCACTCAAGGGCCATTTTCTCCTGATGGAAAATCAGCCCAAGAGGCAGAGGGGAGAAGTGAATCAATTATTAGCAGAAATGGAGGCCTGGCTTTTCTGGGACCCGCCGCACATCAGTCTGTGCATCCTGATCCCCTTAGCCTAGTCACCTATGTGGTTCATTCCCTCTGAGGTGGACCCCTCATCTGTCCGCACAGAAAAGAGAGCTGAGACAGCCTGGATGATGCAGATCCCACCAATGTGCCAGCAATATCGGGCTCTGAAACAAAGCTCCCCCTTGGACCCGCCCTTCTGCAGACTCCAGCCCTCTTCCATCACCCTCCCTTGTTGGCCCACGGAATGCCAGGCTGCCGTGCTCCAGGAGGACATTAGTCAAATCACCAGTGAGCCTGCATGTTGGCTCTGCCTCTGCTGCGCACAGGGAGGAGTGGAGGCCTGGCTTAGTTCCCTTTCCAGGAAAGCTCATCTTCACAGGCTACATTGGGCAAGAGAAGGGCTCAGGCCTGGGACCTGCTGGATGGAAATGTTGATGAACCCTGTATGCTGCCAGGACAACTTTCATTTCTGCCCCGCCACACCTAGGCCTCACCAGCACCTCCTACAAAGAAGCAGGGCAAAACCAGATTCTAGAAAGGGGTGGGTTTCAAGAGAGAACAAAATCTCCCTTCCCTGTGGGTCTGCCCCTGGAGCTCTGGTGGAGGGTTTTAGCCCCTTTTTGTTGATGTGGGGGCACCTCTGTCACGAAGGACCAGAGGAATGGTTGTCCCCACTTTGCAGGTGGGAAACCCAAGGCTCAGAGAGGGTGTGGCTTTTGGGGCTCCAGGAATGCTGATCCGAGGCCTGCCTTCCCCTGTGGAATGCCAGGCAGGGACCCACAGGCCCCCGGGCAGGCTGGGCAGCCCCCACTGCTGCTGCATTCCTCAGCTGGAGCCTGAGGGAGAGGGAGGGGGAAGGCCATGGGCCAGGAAGAAGGCTGTTTACCTGGAGGGGTGTGAGTGTGTGTTGTGTGTGTTAGTAACTAGAAGGGAAGAAGATTCCAGAGGGCTGCTGGGAGGGGGGGGATGGGTGTGGGTGTTGGGGGATGGGCGTGGGGGTATGTCAGGAGGTGGCTTGGGCCAGTGTGTCCCTGAGTAGGTAAGAGCTTCACACAGGGGAGGGGACAGGTGAGAAGTTCTTGGCCCAGAAGCTGAGAAGCCTGGAGACAGAAAAGTTGCCAGCTGGTCCTCTCCACCCTCAACACACATGGACCCCCCTCCATTCCCCTCCCCACACGCAATGGCCAAAGGGCTCTTGGTCAGGGCTATATCCGGGTGGGTTAATATTCCCAAGGCTGGTGGGGGATAGAATGGGGTAGGAAGAAAACAAAGGAGAAGGGTGTGAGCTGAGAATGTGTCAGGAGGGGCTGAGAGATTAGTGAAGAGTCAGTGCCTCATCCGCCTCTGGTTCCCTGACCCCAGGGCCTCCCCACCCCACCCCCACTCCCCGGGGAGCTGGGGAGCCTCCGGGGTCCATCCTGGAGAGAGGCAGCTCAGCTACTGGTGGTGGCCAGGCCCCAGATCATTTTGCCTCCCCCTTGACCCTCTCCATTGCCTGGTCCTGAGGCCTGAGCTTCTCCCTACCCACCACAGTGACATAAGCTCCAATTTACAGCCCCCCTCCTTCAACACACATACCCCCTCAGGGGGGAAGATGGGTTTGGACATACTTCCCTCTTTCCCCAGGCCTTTCTAGAGCTAATGCCCCGTGCCTTACTTCTCTGGTGTTCATTTGCTTTCCAGGACTTTCTTAGTCACCTGGGCCAGGGGAAGGAGTCCCGGAGGCAGATATTTCACAGGAGTGATTGCAGAAGCTTCCCATCACCCCTGCATACTCTGGCCTGGGATCCTCCTTCCTTCTTCAGCCAAGACTCCCCCCCACTCAGGTGGAAACTCCTATGTCGGTGGACAGATCATGCCTGCAATGGGGTCAGGGAATGAGGAGAGGCAGTAGGATGGACAGAGGAGCTGAGGGGGCAGGAAGCAGTGGGGAAGGAGCTTTGAGGTGAAGTAATTCAATACGAGGAAAGAGGGTGACCAGGCCCCATTGCCACTGTTGGGTGCAGGCAAGAATGGCACTGTCCCTTTAAGTGGGGGTGCCAGTCAATGCCCTCCCCCAGCCAACCCAATTCATGGGCACACTGAGCATGTGCAGGAGCTGTGCAAACATAGGGGAGGGAAGTGGGGGGATAGATTCCGGAGGGAACTCCTCACCCCACTACTTCCTGTAGCTGCCCCACTCTCCTTCCTGGGTCCGACAAAGGAGCCATGGTGCTCCTCCATTCCCTTCCCCCTCCCAGACTGCCGTGGGTGCTACCCTCTAGGGGCACTGGGGCCTGCGAGGGGTGATGGGCAGGTCCTCTCTGCCCCGGGAATTCTCAGGCAGCCCCCCTGCTGCCCAGAGGTGGCACACCAACTCGGCCCAGTGACATCCTTACTCCCCTAGTGTAGGCAGTGGGTGATCTTCCCACTGCTTAACACGTTCGATTTCATTCCATTGGTGCCAGAGGTTTTAAAAGATGCGTACACCCGTGATGACTCTCTCTCTGAAAATTAAAAACAGCTACAAAGATGAGGTCCCCGCCCCCGCCCCCAGGAGCTTCCAGTCTATAAAGTCTGAGAGGAAGCAGGCAGCTCAGAGGCTGAACGAAGACTGCCAGGTCCTCCTCCTGGCCTCCCGCCTCAGCCTCTCCTTCACCTTCCCTCCCCAACTTGGCACTTGCTCAATCTTCTTATTCCTTTCATCTCTTCGCCACGGGTACCCTTATTTTTAATTGAGATGAAATTCACCTAACATGGAATTGACCATTTTAAAGTGAACAATTCTGTGGCATTTGGTACCCTGACATTGTGATGCAACTGCCGCTTCTATCTAGTTCCAACAATATCACCCCAAAAGGAGACCCCATACCTATGAAGCAGTTACTCCCCATTCTCGCCTGCCCACAGCCTGGGCAACCACTGACCTGCCTTTTGTCTCAGCTGACTTACTTATTCTGGGTATTCTGCTGGTAGAGCCTAGAGGGCAAGGCTGGTCTCTGGGGGCCTGCGTCAGAAAAACACAGACCTCCCGAGGGCCTAAGAGGAGGGAGGGCCGGACCAGTAGTCTCGAGACCTGTGATCTAACCCACTTCTGCTTCTAACTCAGGCATCTCTTCTCCTCCTTTGTTCAAAGGTGGTGGATGGGTGGGGGGCTTCAGGCCAGTTCAGGATCCTGGGCCCTCCAAAGCCTATTCCTGGCCAGGGGGCTCCTGTCTGGAATTGTGTTTGTGTTACTTGGCCTGAAAAACACAACATCGTGATCCTCTTGGCTCTTCCCTGCCAGATCCAGGCAGACAGGGTGGCCCCGGGCACATACCGTGGGGTTTGGGGTCAGAGGCCTGAGATGAAGAAACTTTGGCTTAGAGAGGTTGAGAAACTCGCCCAAGGCCACTCAATACCTGTAGCAACCGGTTCTGGTTATGTTTGAGCTCTTGACCATCATGTCTCCTGCCTTCAAGGAGATAAGTTAAGGATTTAGCCAAGTGTCAGCTGTATAGGAGGTGATTTCAAATGGAAGCAGTCATAAATTTTACTACTTTCGGGACATTGCATAATCGTAAAATGAGTGACTCCATTCCAAGGTGTCTTGTGGGAGTTTCTCTCACCCCACCTTACCGTATCTTTTGGAGAGTTTCCACCTTGTCCTCTCCACTGGCCTCCCTAGAGTGGCAGCTTTTGTGGGGGATGGAAGGGGCTGCTTGGACCTGAATGCTTAGGCAGGGGGTGTGGAAAGTATGGCTCCCCCTCCCCCAAAGGAGGAGATGTTATTTGTTGCCTTCCCCTGGGGCTCGGTTCTCCCATTTCCCTATGGCTGACTGGTCACCCCTGCACCGCCCCCCCCACCAACAGGCCTTTGTGGACCCAGGGACTGGAGGGGACTGAACAGACTTTGCCTGGCAGGGGGAAGGGCTGAGCAGCTGCTCCCAGTTGGCCACTGTGAACTGGAACTGGCTGCCTGTGGGCATGGACATTCCAGAAACCACCTGTCCCAAAGATCTCCCCTTGGACTCCATCCAAGATGCGACGCCCAGATCAGCCCTCCAGGCCTCTGCTATGTCCTGCCTCAGCACTACCCTCTCCTGCATCGTCCTCACCCCAGTGGCTCTGAAAGGAAGTCCCCAAGGAGACTAAGTTGTGAGGAGGA